ATGAAATATATGCATTCGAAATTCATTCTCGTATTTGACCTATTAAATTCCGTTATTGACTAACACGATTTAAGTCAATGAAATATACGAAGATAGGTGACATATATATTTCGACAGCAATCATTCAATAACGAACACTCATATGACTTAATTGGAGTCAGACCCCAGGCCACTAAATGTCATTTAGATTATATATCGGAACTTTATAGAAGAAAAATCTAGAAACATGTGTCAACGTATGTCGATTCAGAATTGATGCTCAGTCCACTGTCTTTCCCAGGTCTATTCATAGATCCAATAATTTCGTACTCATAATAACGTTTATTATCTTGAAGAGAATAAACACAAAGATTTGAGCAGAATAACACGAGTTCATTTTATTTCGTTAGGTCCTCATCAGCTGCTTACAACTTATAATATTTTAGCACTAAAATTATCATACAAGTTAACATACATATACAAGCGAAATTGATTAGAAGTGAATGAGCATCATCATGATGGAGTGAAGCTCCCAATAAAGTCCTCTGAGATTTTCTGAAACCTGATTTTTGTTTTTAAAAAATCAGGTGATAAATCTTTCTTTACATTCACTTTATTGCCTCACCATTTTTATAACACTTTCTTGTACCTTGACTACATCATGTTCAATTCTTTCAAACTTATAATTCTATTTCAAACTGACTGATCTCAATTCATGTTATTCTCCTCTACCACTAACCTGTGTTTCGTTGCTAAATTGCATAATCAACTAGAATTTTCGCCTGTGATCTTTGGTTACAATTTTGATTTTTTAGAATTCTCTCTCTCACATTGTACTTATCTTAAGTAATTTTTCTGTCTTATTAACTTTAGTGAGATACCCGCTTCATCATAACGATACTAACTCACTTATAATCAAGTTCGCTTGTATAAGTATGTTAACTTGTATAACAATTATGAGTTATAAGTAACTGATAAAAACCTAACAAATGGAATTCGTGTTATTCTGGTTAAATCTTTGTGTTTGCTCCCTTCAAGATATAGTAATCATCTAGAACTAATAAAGTTTGATCTTCAAATAACATTTACTTTATCATTTGTTCTCTATTCTTAAACTTACACTAATTAATAAACTCAATTAACCTTTTCAGAAATTAACGAACTCAAATAAATTTCATCTATTTTAAAAGCTGACCATCCTACAATAACAAAATTCAATCAATGGGCTTTAAGAATATAAATCGAAGAATAAAGAAGCGTATCTATTATCACTGTCATTGCAGGCATGGATACAATTGAACAAATGGTAATTAAGCTTTAACTTTACAATGTGATGTATCTAACTTATTGAAAATTTTCATCTGAGATTAATAACTTGATTTCCTTATTGGTAGATTTATATTCTTACTGAACTGAGTTACATATTTTACGAAAAATGTTTACAGAAACTGATTTATACATCTGTCAGTTGTTAATATGTATTTAAGACAGAAACAACTAAATTGATAATCAGGTTTTGATTTATTATTTACTTTGACAGACTAGAATAATTTTATTCCACACAGAGACTTTATAGTACAAAATGGACATTCTCGGGCCTTAATGAAAGAATTCCATGAAAAACAGTCGAATTAACCGAAACTAATCTTAAAACAAACCAAATTTAATCGTGGCTAAATGATAAGCTTTAAAAATTCACAACGAAACACATGATGTACCAGCTGTTTGTCGTATGAAGAAACAGTCTTCATTTTAACAGAAGGGTATCAACAAAAATTCGACTTTTTTCATCTGGATCTATATTTACCGACCTACATGAACCTACCAGATGACGTACACTTCAATGACAGGAAACGGGACGTTACTTAACTCCATATAACTCAAAAAACTATGAATCAGAAGACCATACAATGTCTACTGAAAGTGATCATTCAATCTTCAAATTTCAAACGTCTTTAAACTGTTTAAAAGAATAATTCAAGTTAAAACAAATTTGTAGCACTATGGATTTAAGAGCCGGTGATTTATTTTCAGTTTAAGTCTCTTTTGACTTGCACTATAAAATTTAACTAAGCGTGATTGACCGTATAACCCATTTTCGTAATACTGGAGGACCTGTAACTTACAATTTTCTAGGTGGCTGATTTTAACACATTTTATTCTCCGGTCTATCCAACTATTCCGTTTGATGATGACTTAGAACAAATTCATTGGATAAGAGGCTCACATCAATCTTCCTCTTCTAACATATTTATATGAAAATTATAAAATTTCCATTCACTAATGAATCACTCCCTACCCACCTAGTTACCGAGATATGTCGAAGCATCTAATTATCACTACCTTTCACTTTTTTCCACCAGCAAACAGACAAGAATTCGAAGTACAATCAATCAATCTCAAGTGATGAATAGTTAGACCAGTGGTTCACATTAATCATATCATTTATATTTAGTTAAAAAGCACTGATTTCCTGGTAAGCATAGGAAGACTACTTATTTTAAAGACTGTGTAGACAGAAAACGATGTATTTATAGATTCAGACGACTGGAATGTTCGACAGAATGAAAGTCGAAAAATTCAGAGCGTCAAACAACCTGATTCAGTTTTGAACCTTCAGATCGCCAAAAAATTTACGGAGTCCAGAAAAATAAAATATAATATGAGCAAACAAACAAGCCACTCAGACTTAGAAATGGTATCACGAATAAACAAGTACGGAATTAGTTTTCTTTTGAAAATCAGAGTAAACTGGCATTAAACGGGACGAAATAATAAGTAGCTAGGCCAATAAGTATGTAATCAATCCCAACAATCGAAATCCAGAAATGAAATTTTTTAACCAATCACTATCTAGATGATGAAATCCGGTAATCATTTTAATGAATTATGTTCAGTAGAAATAAATGATAGGAAATATAGACAAGAAATGAAGTGATTGTTTTCTCTTCGTCCATTTAAATAGTCTGTATAATTGATAATCCTTTATACTTCTCAGAAACTATGACGGTCGAAATTAGTACCTGTGTTTTTAGCATTCTGACCAGCTGATCCTTTACTACATAAAATCGATAGAAAGATTTGTTAGGCACGCTACAAACTGGTAATCTGTACATAATTAGGAGATTACCAATTACTACATACAAGAAAGTTGCTAGTATTTGGTTTATTTAGATAACCATAATCAGAATAAATTTGCACGGTAGATTCGACTCGTCTCTATCAATAAGGTATACATACAACTTATTCAATTCAACTGAGTGATACACAGAGTCTCGATCCGACAAACACTCCCGATTTTTAACAAAACCTTTCGATAATCGTAGCCCATAGAGTTTATGGAACAAAAAGATTGGTATGAAAATAACCCAACGGTGAAAATCAGGATGTAGGGCAAAACCACAAGACTACTAACTACTTACCAGTAGTAGAAGTAGCAACACTATCAGAAGTAATTCGAAAGATTAAGTGAGATTTCATGCTGCATGTTTTGAAGCAAGACAAAAAGGTCAGTGCGTCTGAGCCACTGAGTACGATTTCGAGCTGTCAATCAGTCTACCCATTAATTACGATAACCACGCGGACTTCAACCACATATTTGATATCTATCAACATGACTCAGACCAACTGTAAATAACTTCACGGACTAATGATATATATAGGTTTTGGGGCTCCTAGCTTCCTCCTGGCCTACTCCTACACCAGACAGCCATCGCAAATCGAAGTTGGGTATACAGCACCTCAGAACTCCTTACTCGATGATCCCAAAATACACGGGTGATTGTTCAAAGACACCAGTGATTGAATGACAGTAACCCATGAATACACATTATCCCTAATGTCCACACATAGAATAGGACGGAGAAAACTGTTGCGCAACATAACGTAACAAATACTGAACTTCCTCCCAGTCAGTCAGTAACAACGTAGAACTTCGTACGTACGTACATTAGTTCGAGTTGCCATACCACATTAGCACAGAGATGCAGTTGTCAATTCAAACTCAGTAGTGGTAGAGGTAGTAAAAGTATAAGCAGTAATCGGAAAGATTAGGGTTTGGAGATGTTATTCAAGGAGTATAATCCAGTGAAATAAGTTTGGAAACAGAAAAGAGACAAGAACTCAGATTAGAATTTGGGAGAACACAAAGAGTAGATGGACCTGAGCCATCGCAAACGGTTTTGAGCCATGACATTTAAGGTCACTAACCTTCCTCCTCCTCCTTCCTCTAAGGTTACTGACGATCCCATGCACAGAGAGGGTTGTGATCAGGGTTAGCAACAGTACTTCGCCAAAACGAACCCCACTACGAAAGCGTCAACCAAAGAAAACCGCACCCTGAAGGTTAAAGAATAGTTAGGGAAAGGACAAACAAAATATGGTTCAGGGAATTCGAGGGAAATCATGAACACCCTTCATAAAGGGGGAGGAGACTGGTACAGAGTTGTCTGGAGACCGCTGGTGAACGCTGCATGCCCTAAGAGGTACCAGACTTCGGTAATGTGAATACCACCAGCAAATCCCAAAGTGAATGCCACCACTTCACTTGGTCTCAGCAAGTTGGTAGCAAAGAATGTAGTCTGAATCCGAGTACACAGATTACTTATTGGTTATGTAGTTACATCAATATTTTCGTCATCCTTAGTCTAATGACACTACAATTGGAAAAATAATTTATAGTATCCTGTTTCAAAATATCACTTTAAAGAGGAAATCGATACATCATGAGAATTTGGAACTTGCATGAATCAACATCCAAAAAAGCCCTAACAAACCGGCTGACTCTATGTACTTTTCGGAAGCAAAAATGATAAGGGATAAATAGCAGTCTCGCTAAACCAGTTTTTTCGAGTAGTAACAGATATACAAAGGCTTGGAACTTCACACTCCAGTCGAAATGCTAAACCGGTCGCAATTTGGACAATTTAAATCGCGAACTTAGGAAATGTTTTAGTTTATTCGATCAAATTTAAAATTCCAACAGGGAGATTCAGAAGGTATTCATTAAAATTATTCAGAATAATTGGTGATGAACCGAAATAAATTTTATTGATGACATTTCAAAATATGTACACAATTTTAATACTGCAAGTGACGAGTCCTAAAGGAGCTAGTAATTAAAAAGATACAATCAAACAACCGTTATTGTCACCAGAACAAATGTTAATTGATTTTCGATAAAGCACACTCGACTCTGAGAATTAAAAGGTTGAAGCAAATACATTTGTGACGAAGGAATCCTGAAAACGAACCGTTGATTATTGTTTTTCTTGTTTGGCTGATTCCTCATTTTGAGAGTCAGTCTTTGTTCCCTGCTCACCTGCCATCTATTTTACATAATCAAATTATTAACTTATAACAAACTAACCTTTCTATAGGCAACTTCGAACAACTTCAGCGATGCTTGCTGAAGTTCATTAGTAGCTTCTCTAATGCTTTCAGCAGTTTCATTATCTTTGTTACTCAACCGACTTTTCAACTTTTCGATAAGTACACTCAGTTTCTCCCTCTGAAGTTCAAAAAAATGCATTACTTAGACACACTAAATTGGCAAAATATGACTACTGCTGCTGTATATAAAAACGACCTGTAATACAGGATATTCTCTCTAGACATAAACACTAATTCAGTGGACCTGGAGATTTAACTACATGTCAGGTCTGAACAAACTTTTATGTTTAAATATCAAAGTCAACCGACTATATACTACCTTCTACTCATGAAATCTATTTATTTTATATTCCATATTTAAACGAAGATCACAGAAGTATTCCCAAGAGCTGGATTGAAGACTACTTTTGTACGCTGTAAAAACATGACAACGGCTGTGTACTATACCAAGTTGCCAAACTATAGTATCAAAGCAAAAGGAAAAATAAGGGGACGGAAATAATACTGAGTAATTGATTAAACCCTGGTATAAATCATTTTATATGCTTCATTAATTTAGGCTGACAGGCTACTGTGTCATGCTCTGTTTTGACTCACATGTGTGACTTGAAACTGTTTGGGTAGCCCCAAATGCTCTGGTTCGGCCGAAGATGGGGAGTCAGCTCTCCCTCTCGAAATACTCTCACATGACCACGCGTATACAATCTCTCTCAGAGAAGTCCTACTCACTGCCTGCTCGTAGCGGGAGTGTTGTTTACGAAATTCAGAGGACGAAAATCGGATGTCCGGCACTTTAACCGGGTTAGTGGACACAGAGAGTCCACCTAGGGAGGTTGGAAAACCCTGATTTCAAACCAATGGTTCACATAGGCCTCAGTATCCTGAAGGAACAAATGGCGTATGAACCTATTGCTGGTGACTGGCTACCACGGGACTGCATCTCTCAACGTTGCTCCACTGTCTTGTGGATCAGACCTTTAGGTCAAAGGCTCCAGGTGTGACACCTTAAGAAAACCACCTGCTTCGGTCTGGGCAGCCGAGTAGTATTACAGCCCACATACAATTCAAGTGGCTTGTGTGGTGCATATGTATTCGGTACACTTTAGTACCGACATTTATGTGTTCAAATAAATAATATTTAAATAAGCTTAGTAGGTGAAACTCGAAAAAATAAGTTCACGCTTTTACACAGAAAAAATATCTTTTATTAACTGTTACTGCCTTCATCCGAACCTGACATGGGTATTGGTATTACACCTACTTCGTTTATACTGAATGTTTATAACATAGATGAGCGAGTTACTGCTAGTCAGGACAGTGGACACTTTAAGCCTCGAATAAATATCAGCTGAACGGGTTAAAAAAATTTCATTTCAAAGTACTTCACCACATTGAATTCTTCGACTTGGATGGTTAGATTGTACAGAATTTAGTGTCGTTTTTGGTCAGTTAGCTACAACGTAGGACCAAGCACATATATGCATCCGTCCAAAGTGACGTCGTTTTGGACTACTTCATTTATTGTAACGTGTAACTAAATTCATAATAATGACAACACAATAAGGATCAGATGAGATGCCAAAGCCAAAACAAAGACTTAGCATGAATTTTACATTTTTAGCCTTTTTGTCTGCTGTTCCAAGAAAAACGAGGAAGTGGTGATGATCATCTACAGCTATTCGCAATCTAGAGAGGCATGAGTTGTTTTGAAAATAAATAGATACTTTTGACTACATGACATATATATCCACCTAAACTATTTTTCAACAACTTTATTTCATCCTACGTGGAATCTAGGAAACACGTATTTTAGTGTACGCGAATTTATGGTTATAGGTTACAATTGAAGGTGGTGAATTAACGTACCTCATCTGAAGGCAACTGATCTTTGTATTCATTGATTTTTGATTCTGTATCATGAACAATACCTTCTGCTTGGTTTACTGACTCCACCAGGTCTCTACGCTTTTTGTCAACTTCTGCATATTGTTCAGCATTGCGCACCATATTCTCAATCTCATCCTTGCTTAAACCTCCACCGGAACGTATGACAATCTGTTGTTCTTTACCAGTGCCTTTGTCACGTGCAGCTACATTGACAATTCCGTTGGCATCGATATCAAATGTGACCTCAATCTGAGGAACACCACGTGGGGCTGGAGGTATTCCCACCTATTAGAAACAATAAACGAAGTAATATCATACGAAAAACGTGATTATATATAAAAAAGTACAATAACAGCAAGTTATTAAGAACTCACCAGGGAGAACTGTCCCAGTAATTTATTGTCATTTGCCATTTCACGCTCACCCTGATATACTTTGATTTCAACCTGTGTCTGGCCATCGGCAGCCGTAGAAAACACTTGAGATTTTTTTGTGGGAATAGTTGTATTTCGATTTATAAGCTTAGTCATAACACCGCCTAGAGTTTCTATTCCAAGTGACAAAGGAGTAACGTCGAGCAGTAGCACGTCTGTGACATCACCAGCAAGAACTCCCCCTTGGATTGCCGCACCCATAGCTACAGCCTCGTCTGGATTAACACTTTTACTAGGTGTCTTTCCAAATATCTTCTCAACTGTCTCTTGAACCTAATGATAACTTAGTTTTTGTAATGTATACATCTCACCTTGGGCATTCGGGTCATACCACCGACTAGTATAATTTCACTGATATCTGAAGCTTTTACTTCGGCATCCTTCAAGGCTTTGTTACATGGTTCGATTGTACGCTTGATTAGAGGCTCCACCAGATGTTCTAATTTTGCTCTAGTTAATTTGAAATGCATATGTTTGGGGCCTGCTTTGTCCATAGTTAAATAAGGTAGGTTAATATCGGTTTGCAAGGAAGATGATAATTCAATTTTAGCTTTCTCTGCAGCTTCTTTGACACGCTGGAGCGCCATTGGATCTTTAGTGACGTCGATACCTTGCTAAAAAACTAGTTTAAAAAAACGACTATTACCTCTCGTTGAAATTCCTTAATCAGAAAGCGTAGCAATTCATTGTCAAAATCTTCACCTCCTAAAAATGTGTCGCCATTGGTGGATTTCACTTCGAACACCCCCTTTTGAATTTCTAATACTGATATATCGAATGTACCACCCCCAAGATCATAAACCGCTATCCTAAACAAAACATAAGTATAGTAGTGAAATTACGTTTTGTCGTCTGTTCGATCCAGACCATAAGCCAAAGCCGCAGCAGTAGGTTCGTTTATGACACGCAAGACTTCCATGCCTGCGATTTTCCCAGCATCCTTTGTTGCCTAGATATACTTTTAGATGGAAAAAAAGACATATACCTGTCGTTGTGAATCGTTAAAATAAGCAGGGACAGTGATCACCACATTTTTCACCTTCGACCCCAGATAACTTTCTGAAAAGCTGCTTGATGATATGCACTAAGAAACGAACCTGCAGTTTCTTTCATTTTGATTAACACAAATGCACCTATCTGGCTGGGTGAATAGGCTTTTCCATGAGCTTCAAGCCAGGCATCTCCGTTGGAAGCCTTAATGATTTTGAACGCAGAGTTCTTCATGTCCTTTTGTACTTCTGGGTCGTCATAGCGCCTCCCTATAAGACGTTTGGTTGCAGAAAACGTGTTTGCTGAGTTAGTAACAGCTTGTCTTTTGGCAGGCGCACCCACAAGTCTCTCTCCGTCACTTGTAAATGCCACTACTGATGGAGTAGTGCGACAGCCTTCTGAATTTTCCAAAACTTTAGGCTGCTTTCCCTCCATAACTGCAACACATGAGTTTGTTGTTCCAAGATCTATGCCAACAACATGTCCCTTAGGACTAGATGAGTAGAAAGAGCACAATGGCTTCAAATTTAAAAACTAAACAGGGACTTTAAGAAACCGGGACCGAAATACCTTATTAAACATTTGTCTTGACAACAAATACCGAGACATCTCCAAGATGTCAATAAGTCGTGTGATCTAGAAGGAGCGCGAAGCGTGACTAAATAACGAAGTAAAACAATGGTGAAGATTGTTGTATAAATTTGTCATATAGGATTAAAAGTATTGATTTACATCCATATGAGCTATCGAAAATGGTTACTCTATGTATCAAACCTTTTTACAATAAAATAACTGATTGGTCAATGAAGTGATCATGCCAGCACAAGGTGGGTAGCAGGCCATGACCTATCAATTGTATCATTGAATCTCTTCGCTTCTGATATCTGATTGCACTGGGTTAGCACATTTCGATTATAGAATTTGTTACTGGTTGACGTGTTGTCAAACTCCAAATGATTGTAGTATCTCCAGTGGCGAGCCCGATGTGATCTGGTACACCTATTTGTAAACTGAGTCTGTTTCTTTCTGGAACTTTATATACCATTTCTTTGTTTAATTTTTATTTGTGATATCTTTTCGTTTTTTCGTACATTTTTCTGCCCGTCGTCCAGTCCTATATTTTGTATTCGTCATGACTAAAGACTCATAGGTTACTTAAGGTTAGACTCTTCCACCACTCTCATTTCAACTAATGCCATTTTGGCCCGATAACATCGAAGCCCAGTTTTGCCACGCGGAGGCTGGTTACCGCAAGCACGGCGTGACGGCTCCACGTGCACAGTACCTTAAAGTAGTGAAGGCACTACCGTGAGGTTTCAACAGGTATGTCACACCTAGTATATTTACTAGTGATGTCTCGGAACCTTATGAAATTCCAAAAAGGTCTATTCTTAAACGCGTGGATCGAACCTGTCAACAGAGTTTAGATCAACTCTTCAGTGACATCGATCTAGAATATAGCTAAGCAACGAACATGTTATTACGGGTAACCGAGGTCGTTGGTCAAGGGACTTTCGACAATGGCGTGTTTAGATAGCTTTTCTTGTCTAAGCTTCCCAAACAGTGCTTGTCTTGTTTCAAAACAACATTGTAGGCGAACTAGTCGTACCTGCCAACCGAATTCTAGAGATCACCAAAACTTCTGACGTCGATGCCTATTCAGTCAAAAAAATCTTCAAACGACACAAAATGACGTTACAGAACTCTGCCATAGTCAGACATGTTACCTTAGTGTTCGTCACGGCCGTAGATTCCCAACCCCCGTAGTACTTCACGTAAACGATCTGTCTTTAGATTACGAGAGATAGATAACCCTCTTTGGTGCTGGTATCATAATCAACACATAAAGTCTCGAAATTGCAGAAAACCCTGCAATTTGCCCAACTCAAAATCTACCGACGCGAAAAACAATTCGGGAAACTTCCAAACCGGCACGCGTTAACGGCAACAGTAACCGGCGAACATAGCTGTCTGTTATATATCACTGATATGATTACAAAAGTTCGCTGCCTCGTCAAAAGTGGCACAGCACTTAGTGTTCCTCCTGTGAATTCTAACGACCGACAGCACAAACCGGTTTTTAACTTACAGGCGGCAAACGGAAAACCGATCACCACATATGGTAAGTGTTACGTTCATCTTAACGTGGGTTTATATAAGCGCATCCACTGGATCTTTGTTGTCACAGATGTTTCTATGCCAATAATTGGTATAAACCTGATAAAACATCATAATGTACTCGTTGATGCGTGAAAACGGAGGTTAGTAGACGGAAAGGCTAATTAACCTGTTTGCGTAACTTCTTCATCCGGTTGTAGATTATCCCCAGTCACAGTAAGGCAGAAGATCGATCCACACCACCAACGAATACTCGATCAGCACCCTGAGATATATCAAACATCACGACTACAGAACCACCTGTAGTTTCGAAAGCCCGCCGACCAGCTCCCGAAGAGCTGAGGTTGGCTAAAAGCGAATTCGGCTATATGATGGACGTAAGAATCATTTGGCCATCAAACAGCCCATGGGCATCTCCCTTGTACATGGTCCCTAAAAATGACAGCAATGACTGGCGTCCAACTGGTGACCATCGGCGATTGAATGCGGAAACCAGTCCTGATCGTTTTGACAGCTACTTCGAAAGGCATTACTGTTTTTCTCGAAAATCGGTTTGGTTGAAGCTTGTCACCAAATTCCAATGGCTGCTGATGACACTCTTAAAACCTCTACCATCACTCCTATAGGTCTCTATGAGTTTTGCACATTATTTTCGGCTTCACAAATACTGAATACAATTTCAAAACGATTATCGATGACGTTTTTCGAAGTCTCAACTTCGTACATGCATATGTTGATGACTGCTTGATTACAAGTCCGGGTTGACAGCCTCATCCCCAGCATTTGGACATTGACTTCGAACGACTACAAATGCATGGCATTACTGTAAACGTTCATAAATGCCAAATCAACACCAGCTCCCTAGATTTTCTCGGACCCACTATTTATGCTCAAAGCATCCGACCTCTGAAAAGCAAAATAACGGCCATTCTGGATTATCCAGATCAGACCACAATCAAGAAACTGCGCACGTGTAACGGTCTAGTAAGTTTCTATGGACGGTTCATACCAAATTGCACGTCCCCTAAGGGATCTTTAACCGACCAACTTTGTGGAAATGCGAAATCCATCAACTGGGACGACAATGCGACAGAAGCAATCACCGAAGTTACGGAATCGGTCGCCAAAGCAACATCGCTCGCACATCGGGACACTAAAGCACCCATCAGCATCGCAGTGGAAGCATCCGACAGTGGGTTCACCACAACTGGTAACCTTTGGCATTCTTCTCAAGACGGTTGTCAGGCACCCAATCGAAGTATAGCACTTTCGGTAGGGAGCTACGAGTTATTTATTGCTCTTTACGGCACTCTCAACACTCCGTTGAAGGCCGAGAATTCACTCTTTTCACCGACCATAAACCTCCTACTTTCGCTTTAAGCTCATCTTCAGACAAGTACTCTCCTCGAGAGTCGCGACAAGGGGACTATATTTCGCAGTTTGTTTTAGATATATAACATATCTGGAGCAAATACTGTCCCGTACAACTTCTTTGAACACTTTCTAGGGAATCGACCTTCTTAAACTCATCCAGCTTCTGAACACAAGACACTGAACTTCAGCATGAGTTGCCTTCGACAACCCTGAAATTGTGTATCAGACAGGTAGAAACAGGTAAGGAAACTTTAATATGTGACACATCCACAGGTAGAGGTAGTCCAATCATGCCGAAACATTATCGACGCAACGTCATTACGTTGCACAATCTTCCTCCTACAGGTGTTCGTGCAACAATCAAGCTCACAGCAGGATGATTTTGTTGGCATGTATGAATAACGACGTAAAAGAATGGGCATGTTCCTATGTAAGCTGCCAGAAGTCTAGGGTGGTTAGATACAACAAAGATTCATTAGGTTCATCCAAAACTCCTGATGCTCGTTTCTACCAGGTTCATATGAATTCGGTAGAACATTTGCCAGATCCAAGTGGATAATCTTATCTCCAAAATTGTGAAGAACGTTTCGCTCGATGGCCAGAAGCAGAACCCATCAAGGACATTACTGCCGAAACGCTGGTGCATGCCTTCGTCAAACGGTGAGCAGCCAACATCGTCTGCACTTTAAATATCACTGCAGACCATGGACGACAGTTCGAATGTGGACTTTTCCATTACCTAACTATAACGTGAATGGAGTTTGACCATTCGTCAACCAGTAACAAATTCTATAAGCGAAATGTGCCAACCCAGTGCAATCAGAAGTCATAAGCGAAGAGGTTCAATGATATATTTGATAGGTTGTCAGTATATCAAGAAGTGATCTATCTGAACTGACTAGAGGTTGTAAAAGTTAAGCATAGAGTACTCATTCGTGATCTGGTGAGGATGCGTAACCGAGGCGATTGAGCTGCTGAACATAGCTAGAAAATTGCCCTCAGAAAAACAGGCAGCATTAAATGAACAGAATTACACTTTCAGGGAAATTAGGAGCGTTATCATAAGCCATGCTCTAGATTTAAATGAGACCATAAATGTTGACCCCATCAGGTAATCAAATAAGCATAGAGAGGTAGGCATTGTCACAGAGAAAAGGAAACTATTTATAGACAGCACTGAAGCATATGAATCCACGACTTCAGTTCCGGATTCACTTATCAATGCAATACAAACTATGGGGAGCCAAGTCTAAGAGGTGTACAGGATGTAGTCAAGAAACAAAATATGATAAATGAGTAGCTCATAGTCACATCTAGTAAAAAAAATAAGAAAACAGAATGAGACCTCTGTGTTTGACGCTAAATTGGAATCAAATTGCCTGGAAGAGACGATTTCAGGAACTGAAATTCTACAGCGTGTTATAACGGACCTCGCTGAGAGGTCAGTCATTTTTCATAAGTTTACAGAATCTTCCAATACGGAACCAAAGGCCAGATTTCAGCACGACCTTAGTCATATTAAGTCCTTAATAAGCAAGCTACGCCCAGAAAGTTTCAAGATTTAGCAGATGTAAGTTTTATAAAATATGACAAAATGTGGATTCTGAAAGTACTCAGAAAGGTCGCCTCCTAAAGGTTACCTTTGCTTCGACTGAAGAAAGAAACCTAACACTGAGAAACTCATTCAAACTGATCGGTTACGAAATATACGTCGATGAGGATCTCAGCCTGTTTGACTGTATTAGACGATCAGAAGAATCAGAGATGAAAGCCACCGAAACAGTGAAAGAAACCTCGTCTTAAGAGTTTTCACATTGTAAAAGTTCGGAGCGAAACGATCCCCAAAGCACTGTGGGTGATAAGGGAAAGTTCCCCACGGAATTAAAGGTGTGCTACATTAATGTTCGCAGCCTGCTAAATAAAACGGCGGAGCTCAAGACAACGGTGGATAAAGAAAAACCGGATGTTATTGCTGTCTCAGAAGCATGGTGAACGTCAGTGTCCGATAATAAAATTCAGCTGGAGGGTTTTTATCCAGTAGGGCTGATCGATTAAACCTTGGGGGAGGCGGTTTAATCCTCTGCACAAAAAGTACCCATACCATACGAGTAGTAGAGATAGCGGCACATGATTCAGGGACATGAGAACTGGTGCACTGCCAGCTGAAA